GTGTTTGGCCTGGGGATTGGCTAAAGGGCAGAAGATGGCTCTGATCGCAGGCTAGGCCTAGGGACCCTGCCTGCACAATTTCGTGTGCTGGGCCTCTAGTACATGTATATAATACACACACATCTATAAATATTCCTATATGTAGTCATTAGTATCTACATTAGAGTAAACATGAGTTCTTACTAATGTCACCAATTCAAATCCAGTACCAACTGAATTATTCTAGCCTCCTCCCAATTCATACCACTTTCTTACCTGAATCTCACTGCACCAGTTGAGAAACATGGCTCTCACTTTGTGCCATCCATTTACTTACCTATTTGGTTCCATTATGCTTGTATAGCAGCATCAGAATCATGAACTCTATCATCAATTAGAGCACAATGCTTATGTGCAGTTCCTTATGCCTTCAGTTTTACAGACTCCACTCATTTCCATATTTACTCAGGTCAGCACCCCACTCCCCTTTGTTGACACTGTAAGGAAATTAAAAGATGGAGGAATAAATTTACACATTGAAATAGTTTTAAAGACATGTCATACATTTTAATTTGTTAATACTAAATTATACTGTCTGGGGATGTATATTTAAATGGTGAAACTTAAAAAAAAAAAGCAAAGAACTTATTACTATAGAAGTAACCTCATAAGAAAGAAACTTCTACTTTTGGGCAGAAAAAATATCAGTGATTGGATGTACTCTCCCACTTGAAACAATTAACAGAAACCGAATAACATAATACACAAAACAGTGGTTTCAGACATTGGATAGCAGGCAGTACTTGACAGTGATTCCTGAAAATGGGGAAACAAATAAGATAAGCCCTAGAATTGCCTTAGCTTACAATAGGGAGGAAGTTGCCAGGCTCCAAAGCAGGGTTGGGGAACCGAGGCAGAGACCAGTCGTCTCGTGAGTTAAGAAGTTGGAGCTTGGAGTCTGGGAGATGGGGCAGAGTACAGTTAGAGAGGAGAAAGCAGGGTAGAGAAGAGAGAGCTACCACAGAGCAAGCTCCAGAGATGGCAGGAAGTCCACCAGGCAAAAGGCAGTGGGGAAACTAATGGAGGACAGAGAAACACACACAAAAGGAGCAGAGGGAAAATGCCTGGAGCTCACAACCAGCAGAAAATAGACTGTGCTCCCACCAGCCAGTGGAGAACGTTGGCATGGGCAAAGCACTCAAAATGGTGTTCTGAGTGGTGGGACACAATTAGTCATAGATGAATGGTTATTCTGATGCCACTGAATGATGCTAAAATCAAACCTTGAAAGGATTAAACTGTTCCCAAGTAACTTGACTATGACCCAGAATAAAGTTCAAGAATATTTGTAGAAATATAAAACTATGCAGCATTCAACAAAGTAAAATTCATAATATCAGGGGTCTGGTAAAGAGGAGGAAGAAGGGAAGATATGGCTCATAGCAACAACAACAAAAAAGAATCATTGCAAAGAGATGTAAACACATATAATAGAATTAGTAGATAAAGACATTAAAAGAGCTTTGTTACATATATTCAAACAGGTAGGGGAAAGATTTCATGTTAAATGGAGGCATAGGATATACACATATGTTTTGTTAATCCTCACCTGAGGATATTTTCCCATTGATTTTTAGAGAGAGTGAAAGAGAAAGAGAGAGAGAAATATGGATTGGTTGCCTCCCACATGGCCCTGACTGGGGCTGTGGATCGAGCTTGCAACCGAAGTATGTGACGTTGACTGGAATAAAACCCGTGACTTTAGTCCATGGGCCAATGCTATATCCACTGAGCCAAACCGGCCAGGGCAAGATATATCTATATATTTAAAAGACCCATATTGACCTTCTAGAGATGAAAAATAAAATGTTTGACAGGGAATATATAGAGAATTTTAAAACTCAGGAATAGGAGAACAAACAACTCAATTAGAAAATGGGCAAAAGTTCTGAGCAGACACTTAAAGAAGATACATAGGAGCCAAAGGCACATGAAAAGGTGTTTAGCATTACTGTCCTTAGGGAAGAACAAACTAAAACCATAATGAGGGCCCCGCTGGTGTGGCTTAGTGGTTGAGTGTCAACCCATGAACCAGGAGGTAATGGTTCTATTTCTGGTCAGGGCGCATGTCTGGGTTTCAGGCTTAATCCCCAGTAGGGGGCATTCAGGAGGCAGCCGACCAATGATTCTCTCTCATCATTGATGTTTCTATCCCTCTCTCCTCTCCCTTTTAAATTAATTAAATAAACCACACACACACACACACACACACACACAAAACAACATAATGTGGTACCACTGCATACTACTACAATGACTAAAATGAAAAAGACCAACTGTACCAAGTGTTGGCAAGGATATAGAACAACTACAATTCTCATGCACTACTGGCAGGAATATAAAATTGTAAAACCATTTTGGAAAATGATTTTGGCAGTTTTCAAAAAGTTAAACATATGCCTGCCATAAGGCCCAGTCTTTCCCCTCCTAGGTAATTACCCCAGGGAAAGGAAAGAATATGTCCACACAAAGACTTGTGTATAAATGCTCATGGCAACTTTATTTGCAATAGCTCCAAACGGAAATTACCTAAATATCCTTCAACAGACGAATAAACAAATCCTGGTATATCCATGTGTTGAGTTTCGCTAAGCTACTCAATGATATTGCTGCTTCAGCATCCATTTTGATTGGCCAAGTGCCTGTGGGAGCCTTAAGCTGACATTAGCCTCCTTATGCAATTGTACACTCTAGATCAGACATTTTCAACCAGTGTGCCTCAAGAATTTTTAAAACATGCAATACCTGACTATTTAGAGAGGGGCACTGATCTCTATTCCCTTAGATTTCAAATAATAATTAAAAAAAGACAATGGTCATCCACTGTAAATGAATCAAATTATATATTTTTTGTCAGATCGTCAAAAAATATATTTTTTGGTGTACCCCAGAGTTTTTAGTAATTAGCTTCTGTGTGCTGTGAGATGAAAAGGGTTGAAAATCACTGTTCTAGATAATAGCTTGCTGAGTCACAAGCAAATACAAATTCTGGATATGACTTCCTTGACAGCTCTTGTGATCATCACTCTCCCCTGCCTCCAAGACTTTCCCTTTGCATGCATTTTAGGTGAGAGCCTCATGGAGCTTCTCTAAACTCTGCTCTTGTTAGCTTGACTTGAACAATTTGTGCCCAGCTTGGGAAACCCAGAGCATCCATTAGCGGAGACTCATAAAAGCATATGCTTCAGGTCCTATCCCTCTCTCTGTCTGCACCCTGCCTTGGCCTCTCATGTAGCTCCTGAAGGTGTGCTGTGTACCTCCGCCAGGACTGTGAGTAATAAACGTCTGTATTTCAATTTCTCTTGTGGTCCGTTGTTGGCAACTCACTATCCAGCATCCTGTGCTCTACTTAACAAATGTTAATTTAACAAAAGCATGACATGGTAGAATGGCATACTAATCATCCATAAAATGGAATGGACTATTGATATGCACAGCAACATAGGTAAATCTCATCATAATTATGCTGGAAGAATCTAGGGAAAAGAATATACACCGTGTTTGGCGCTGCTTCCCACTAGTCACTACTCATTTATTTTAACATATAAAAATTTTTAACACAATGTTTTACATATAGTGAGGTACTTAAAGATAATCTTTGTCCTTAATTAAATTATTGAAGCTTGGAATGCTCTTCCAAGCTCATTGCTATTATTGGCAGAATTCAGAATTACACTGAGATTCAATTCTGTATACAGATCCTTGATTAAGAGTCCTGTAGAAAAAGCTATAGGGAACCACAGACATTTTAATTGGTCTAGTAACAAGACCAAATTTCACTTTTAGAAATATCACTCTGACAGAAGTTTTAAGAATGTTGTGAGTGGCAGAGCAGCTGCACCGGTGGGAGGATGTGCAGTTAAGGGGCTTAGCAGTGATTCAGGTTGGATATGGGAAAGGCCTAATTTGAGATAGTTGCAGTCTAGTAAACAAACAGGGGACTTACACTGAGTGGCCAGATTATTATGACAACCCCACCAGTACTCGTTGGGCCACATTTTGCCTTCAATACTGTGGCAATTCTTCTTGGCATTGACTTCACAAGATGTTGAAAGGTGATGCGAGGAATCTGACACCATGCCTGATGAATAGCACTGTCCAGTTCTGTGAGATTTGATGGTTGTGGAACCAGCTGCCTGATGGCTCTTTTAACTTCGTCCCACAAATGCTCTTGTGCTATTCAGACGTTTATAATGATCTGGCCCTCTAGCAACTTCAGCGGGAAATTATAGCTAATTTGCCTACAAACTTCAGGTGGTCATAATAATCTGGCCACTCAGTGTATTTGCCAGCTATCAAGAGGTAGCAGCTTCAGGTTTTAGAGATTGGGGTATGTGTATTGAGGGGAGATGGAATGGGGTTATGGAGGAGCAGAGCTTCACATTAACTATCTAGCTATTAAGAGGTAGCAGCTTCAGGTTTTAGAGATTGGAGTATGTGTATTGAGGGGAGAGGGAGATGGGGTTATGGAGGAGCAGAGCTTCACATTAACTATCTTGGTGCCAGGGGCAAGCTGTGGGGGAGCACTAAGAGTCATGGCGATGGGAGAGGAGATAACTCATGGAGGAAGCTCCTCCAGACCCTCTAGCTCATCCTATGAGCTAGCCCTGCAATAACTGGGTGAACTTGAAAATGTTCTCCACAGGTGGGCATTTTACCCTAAGGTAACATGCAGCCCACTTAAGCTTGAATTTCAGTCCCCTAAGGATTTCCTGAGAAGCTAATAATATAGAGGTACCTTTTCAGCTTGGTCAGTGAGAAGTACTGGACAGAAATCTCCTGATGTGAAGAAAGGTTTCCAAGTGGGTGTTAACCAAAGAAGAGGTTCAGGCTGTAACAACAACAACAACAAAAGCATTTATTTTTGGGAATCTGAGAGACTCCGATTCAGGGAGCACCCCAAACTGCTCTGGAGAGAACAAAGGAAGACAAGGTTTACAAAGGCAGAAACCACAGTGTAATTCTTCCATGAAAATGAAAGATCCGTTAACAGGGATGGCTAGTTCCAATATGCACACATATATAATTACATACTGTTTTTGTGATTAATCACTATGCCTTAATTATATTCAATTTGTAACAATGAAATTGGGGGTCACCACAACATGAGGAACTGTTTAAAGGGTTTCGGAATTAGGAAGGTTGAGAACCACTGCCCTAAGGTAACATGCAGCCCTCTTAAGCCTGAATTTCAGTCCTCTAAGGATTTCCTGAGAAGCTAATAATATAGAGGTACCTTTTCAGCCTGGTCAGTGAGAAGTACTGGACAGAAATCTGATGTGAAGAGAGGTTTCCAAGTGGGTGTTAACCAAAGAAGAGGTTCAGACCTCTAAGCCCAGTCGAGAAATTAATTATGGATGTCCAGAGATGGCGCATCAACTTTGTAAACATATTATGCATTGAGCAGAAGGTTAAAGTGAAGAGGAATTTGT